CAGGGCTCGACGTGGCACTCGACCCTGCCCGCCAATAAACTAACCGCCCCGCCTGACACTAGCTAGTAAGTGCATGCGATAGAGATTAAGGCCGCTAGTTATAAGTCCGTAATCCTAAGACCCCTAGTGATAATCACGCCGTGTAAATCGACCGTCGTCGACCGCATACCGCACCTGTCCTGCGCATCTCATCGTCTTGCGCCAACCAATTGCGTCTCCGCTTTGCTACCAGCGACACTGCGACATCTCCTGGCCCTGCACGCTGTATCTATCTTTCGCTAAATAAACTATCTTTTTCACCGCCACTTGTGGTCGCGTACGCCTGAGTCTCCCCTCCTCTCGAACCCGGACACCGACGAGCCGATCCGAGCGTCGAGCGAGATGACCGCGTTACAACCGAGCGTTCTCAATATTCACGTTCTCTTCCTATTCGAAAAGTCAAAGTGTTCTCAGACTTTTCTTCTGTGGAATACTGAGCGTTCTCACAAGCGAAGTATCGGAAGTGTCCTCTCTTGATTTAAATGAGTTTCGAGTATGTTAAAATAGACAAAAATAAGAGATACATATTTTTTTTATCTGCGTTCTCGAATGTTAAGAAGTGAAATCACTTCTTGAAAAAAATCGGTTTTTTTTCCTGAGTAAATATCGTCCAAACCGTTAAAGATATCAAATAAATTTTAAACAAAAGTTTTACGTCTGCAAATGTACTTTAAAATTAAAAATAAAAATTTAAAAATTTTTGAAAATTAGAGGAGGGGGAAATCAATTTCAAATTTGATTATCGATTTAATAGAGAAGGGATAAATTTAAATTTAACTTTGAGTAGGCCACGTTGCACCCTCCAGGGGCTGTCTCCTCTTCGGGGGAGACAGTACGGGCTTCGCGAACCTGGAGTACCCGAGCTGGTGTTCACGGGAGAGAGAGAATGGATTTTGGTACGTGTGGGACACGGTGGAGGGGCCTTGGATATTCCTGGCAGACTAACCAAGGGGGGAGTAGTAGCCCCCCAACCGGGCTGGGAGGTGGAGGCTGGCGTTGTGACCTCTGGGGTAGTAATAAGGGTAATCGTAAGTCCTGTAGCCTCCTTAGGGAGACTACAGGCAAAGATCCCGTGAACCCCCATGTCATGATGGCCGCTCCCCTCCCAGTGGCTGGAGCCTATGCCAGGGTTGAAGGGGGTCTGGAAGGCGGTGTGGTGTGGGGGAGTTATGTGGGCCAGTATTCTCCCATACCCGGAGCTGCATAGGGCAAATTGCAGCACCGTCTAGCCCGGGACACGGGTGTCCGCCCTTCGAATAGGTACGGGCCCGTGTAGTAGGGATGACGTAAAACCTTAGCATCATTTATGGCGCGGGCCTATCCCGTAACCTTTCTGGTTAGAGTCATTTTGTACGGATAGGGTGGGCCGCCTGATAAACCGCTTCTCGGCTTCTGTACTCTTAACTAGGAACTTCTTTACAGCGGGGAAGTGGCTGCATCGCGGTGTGACTCCCATGATGGGCGAACCGCTTTTCTACTACAGGCAATATGGATAGTGCTATTAATATAAACCAGGATGGATCTACCTCAGTGATGACTGGTGTGACTCAAAAGGACGCGAACATGGACAAGGAAGGGAACTCGAGTAAACCTCAAGTAATTAGCTGCGAAGAGGTTACGGTGAAAATCGAGAAGTTGCGACCGGATATATCTTCCTCTTCTCGAAAGGATGCTCCGGTGGACGACATCATTATGTCACCGACGGTCGGTGATAAGAGTGTTCCGGAGGTGGAACTGAGTGCCTCCGATTTGAGGGCAGCTCCCCCCAAACAAAGAGATAGACCGAGGGGTCCCAACTACAAGCCCCCCAGGAGGCCCGCTCCGATTAGCGCAGATCCTTCTTGGGCATTGGGCGAGGAGGGTTGGTTCGTTAGACCAGACGATGACGATGCTATGTCTACAACTAGCAGTAGCTCTAAGACTAAGAGGAAAAGGAAAGCCACGTCGCTACCCGAACCAGAAAGTTGCTCGCCCGACGAAGAATCCGCAGATGATCCAATAGACACGCTTGCCCCTACCTATAGATTGAGCTCACAGGCGGTGCAGCTGGTCGATAATGTGGAGCTAATGCGATCCAAATCCTCGCGGATCCAGAGTAATCTCTCGGGTAGGATGAGGAAGAGCCTCGCGAGGATTAAAGAGATTGCATATTATCCGATAAGGCGCAATCGGGCGGTAGTGAGGACAGGGCTAGACAATCCGTGGCAAACATGGCTAGAGAAATTAAGCTGTTGAAAGAGGAGATTTCTAGACTAAAGGAAGATAACAAACAGCTAAAAATCGAGAATAAAAAGACGAGAGAATATTATGAGAAATTGATGGCTCCTTCTACTTCTTCCAGGTAAATATCTCCGCCTAGTTCTCCACCTAAGAAGTACAGCCCTAATTATAGTGAGGTTTGTGTAGCTTCGAAAAAGCCTGAGGGAAGACAATTCCCAGAAATTAATAGCAAGGAATTAGTTTCGCTAATCACGGAAAACGTAGTGAGATCCTTGAACTCGTTATACGGAGTACACTTACCGGTTGGTGATAGTTTGCGTAGTGATGTTGATTCGGGGACCCCGGACCTGTAACAAAGAAAGTGGTGATAGTGGAGAGAAATAAAAGACAGATTAAATAAGGAGTGGCCACCTCTGCATAAAACTCCTGGAGAAACGGATCTCTCTATATCCGAGATGATTCCATTCACAGCAACGGATACGGAGGTAGAATGGATACAAGTGAACAAGAAACGGAGAAAAAGAACAAGAAGAAGGAAAAGAGGGATTCGCTTCTTCTCTCCTCTCTACCCAATCAGGAAAGAGGAAGAAAGGGAACCCCTCGCGAAGAAGGAAAGAGTGTCATAAGGGAAATGAGGAAACAGGAATCAACTGTGGGACAAGGATTAACTAGGAGAAGTGGCATACCGCCTGGGGACAAGAGGAAGCCTCCTAGAACAGCCGCTATCACC